TGTGGGTCGCCCAGCCTTTTTTTGGGAGGGATGGGATCTTGCTCTGTTGCCCAGGCTGGAGTGCAGTAGTGGGGCATAATCTCAGCTCCCTGCAACCTCTGTCTCCTGGATTCAAGCGATTCTAGTGCCTCAGCCTCCCAAGTAGCTGGGATTACAGACATACACCATCATGTCTGGCTAATTTTTTGTATTTTTAGTACAGACGGGATTTTACCATGTTGGCCAGGCTGGTCTTGAACTCCTGACCTCAGGTGATCCACCTGCCTCAGCCTCCCAAAGTACTGGGATTACAAGTGTGAGCAACCATGCCCGGCCTATTTTTATTTTTTTGTAGAGGCCAGGCACAGTGGTTCACCATTGTAATCCCAGCTACTTGGGAGGCTGAGGCAGGAGGATTGCTTGAACCTGGGAGGCAGAGGTGGTAATGAGCTGTGATTGCACAACTACACTCCAGCCTGGGCAACAGAGCAAGACTCTGTTTAAAAAAACAAAACGTGTGTGTGTGTGTGTGTGTGTGTGTGTGTGTGTGTGTGTGTGTGTGCGTGTGTGCGCGCATGCGCGCACCTTCTGCAGAGTTCTGCTATGTTGCTCAGGCTGGTCTTGAACACCTGGCCTCAAATGATCCTCCCGCCTCTATCTCCCACAGTGTTGGGATTACAAGCCTGAGTCACTGTGACTGGCCTGTTTCTTGTTTGTATACATTGACTACAAACTATAGCACCTGTAATGAGTTTGTAAACATACATCTATAAATAAAAATTCTGGGCCAGGCACAGTGGCTTATGCCTGTAATCCTAGCACTTTGGGAGGCCAAGGCTGGTGGATCACTTGAGGTCAGGAGTTCAAGACCAGCCTGGCCAACGTGGTGAAACCCAATCTCTACTAAAAATACAAAATTAACTGGGCATAGAGGCTCATGCCTGTAATCCCAGCTACTCTGGAGGCTGAGACAGGAGAATCACCTGAACCCAGGAGGTAGAAGTTTCAGTGGGCCAAGATCGTGCCATTGCACACCAGCCTGGGCAACAAAGCAAAAGTCTATCTAAAAAAAAAAAAAAGATTTTGAAGAAACACAGAATATTGGCAGTGATTATCTTTGCATGGTAGGATGTTTGGTTGGGCCTTTTTTTCCTCCTTCAGGTAGGGTCTCAGTCTGTTGCTCAGGCTGGAGTACAGTGGCACCTTCACAGCTCACTGCAGCCTCTGCCTCCCAGGCTCAAGTGATCCTCTGGCCTCAGCCTCCCAAGTAGCTGGGACTACAGACATGTAACACCACTCCTGGCTAACTTCTGTAATTTTTTGTGGAGACGGGGTTTCACTGTGTTGCCCAGGCCAGTCTTGAACTCCCGGGCTCAAGTGATCCTCATGCCTCAATCCACCAAAGTGCTGGGATTACAGGCATGAAGCTACCTCACTGGACAGATTTTTTTTCTTAATATGTTGGTATTTTCTAATTTCTTAAATGATAAATTGCTGCTCATTGTTTCACATATAAATATTTCATAAGAATATACATGTATCTTCATGCCTGTAATCCCAGCACTTTGGGAGGCCGAGGCAGGCGGATCACAAGGTCAGGAGATCAAGACCATTCTGGCCAACAAGGTGAAACCCCATCTCTCCTAAAAATACAAAAAAATTAGCTGGGCATGGTGGCACGTGCCTGTAGTCCCAGCTACTTGGGAGACTGAGGCAGTAAAATTGCTTGAACCCAGGAGGCGGAGATTGCAGTGAGCTAAGATCGCACCACTGCACTACAGCCTGGGTGACAGCTTGAGATTCTGTCTTAAAAAAAAAAAAGAATATACATGTATCGTCTTACTGTGTTTTCTCCCAATGGGCTCCTATCAAAGTCTTTCCCCAGACAAAAGGAAAAGCAGGAGAGAGCTGAAGGGGGAGAAGGTGGAATGGGGTAGGTCTTAGCCGTGAATTGTGGAACAGTGGAAGAAGCCCCTGCCTGGTGCACGGGAGCCCTGGGACTGAGGCTGGCTCACTCGCTCCTGAGCCTGGCTCACTCGCTCCTGAGCCTGATGGTTCTGAATGTCTCTCTCACACCCATTTTTTTTTTTTTTAGTCTTTGACATAAGAAGGAAAAACAAAAAACCCAAGTTAAGAAAGCAAATTCTGGCCAGGAGCAGTGGCTTACACCTGTAATCCCAGCACTTTGGGAAGCCAAGGTGGGCGGATCACCTGAGGTCAGGAGTTTTGAGACCAGCCTGGCCAACATGGCGAAACCACATCTTTACTGAAAATACAAAAATTAGCTGGGTGCAGTGGCAGGTGCCTGTAGTCCCAGCTACTCAGGAGGCTGAGGCAGGAGAATCACTTCAACCCAGGAGGCAGAGGTTGCAGAGTACCAAGATCAAAAAAAAAAAAAAATTCTCTGACTTTACTACAGCATAACAGTCTACTCACGCTTGTTCAATCCACCTTATTTTGTTGCTGTTGTTTTTGTTTTGTTGAGCAGCCTAAAGCCACGGCTTTTCGCTTCTGCCTCTACTGGTAAGTGATAAAGAGGGATGAGGAAGGGGCTTTACCGCCCCAATCAGAAACAGAAACTAAGAAACCATGACTGGATTCTCTCCCTTGCAAATCCCTGGTTCCATGTTGGTAGAAGCCAGGTCCAGCGGTGCCATTGGGATGGGCAGAGCTGATGCTCGGGTGGCACAGGCAAAAGAGGATGATGGTAAATGCAAATGATCCAGAGACAGTGTGGGTCCGCGACTGTCCTCTGAGCACCAGGGAGATGCTCTGCCCGTAGCGCGCAACCTTGCACTCAACTAAAACCAAGATGATCCCTTGATGTGAGCACCCATGTTTGCTCTGACCCCAAGTGGGTTGGGGCCGTTTCAGGTACATGGACCTTGGGTTTTTTTACGGAGTCTCACTCTGTTGCCCAGGCTGGAGTGCAGCAGCACAATCTCAGCTCACTGCACCTCCGCCTCAGTTCAAGCAATTCTCCTGCCTCAGCCTCCCGAGTAGCTGGAATTACAGGCACTCACTGTCACACTTGGCTAATTTTTATATTTTTAGTAGGGACAGCGTTTTGCCATGTTGGCCAGGCTGGTCTCGAGCTACTAACCTAGGTGATCCGCCCACCTCGGCCTCCAAAAGTGCTGGGATTACAGGCATGAGCTACCATGCCCAGCCCCACCTCCCAAGGTGGACCTTGGGAGCTGCCACCCTCCATATGACCCTCCAGCTTCAGTCCTAAGCTATGTGAAGAGATCTCAGAACTGGGGTTTCCCTTTCCCTAGTAGATTCCTGCTCCCCGTGCTCAGCTCCTTGACAGGAATGCTTTTACTCCTGGCATGCCTGGGTCTTGAACACTTGGGCAGATCCACCTGGATGCCAAGGCTTTGCTCCCCAGCTGAGAACTTACCTTCAGGCAGGGACTCGAGCTTCAGCCTCTGAGCTCTTGGGACCAGGGTAGAAACAAGCTTGATGTGCTGAGAGGAGGGAGCCACCTTAGTGACAAAGTCTCATCCTGAGCTTTCGCAAAGACACCAGGAAAACCTGAAATTAAAATGATGCAGTGAACCTCACATGAAAATATTAGCAAACCTGTCATCTCAGCGCTTTTGGGAGGCCGAGGCAGGAGAATTGTTTGAGGCCAGAAGTTCGAGACTAGCCTCATCAACAGAGACCCCGCCTCTACAGGGGGAAAGGAAGACGCTAGCAGGATACCTTTACCGCTGATGGAGAGAAACCAATCGGTGGCAGAAGGGAACGTCAGAAAGCTTGCAACACGAGATTAAGTTCATGCTCTGTTTCTGGCTTTGAAAATGGAGGGACTGGCCAGCTGCGGTGGCTCACACCTGTTACTCCAGCACTTTGGGAGGCTGAGGCAGGCGGATCACCTGAGGTCAGGAGTTTGAGACCAGCCTGGCCAATATGGTAAAACCCCATCTCTCCTAAAAATACGAAAATTAGCCCCGTGTGGTGGCGCATGCCTGTAATCCCAGCTACCAGGAAGAGTGAGGCAGGAGAATTGCTGGAACCTGGGAGGCGGAGGCTGCAGTGAGCCAAGATTGCGCCACTGCACTCCAGCCTCAGTGACAGAGCGAGACTCCATCTCAAAAATAAAAATAAAAAATTGGAGGACCCTGTTGGAAAGTAAGCTGGTGGCCTTAGGGAGCTGAGCGTGGCTCCCAGTTAATAGCCAGCAAGGAATTGGGGACTTGAGTCTTAAAACTGAATTCTGCAAACCACCTGAATGCACTGGAGGCAGATTCGTCCCAGAACCTCAGGCTAAAAGCCCAGCCCAGCCCATGCCTGCCTTTGAACCTCATGCTACCCTAAGCATGGAACACACAGGTGAGCCCACCAGGATTTCTGATCTCCCAAACTCTGAGCTAATAAGTGGGTATGGTTTTAAGTCACTAAATGAGTGGCAATCTGTCATACAACAACAGAAAATTACTATAGGCTGGGCAGGGTGGCTCATACCTGTAATCCCAGCACTTTGGGAGGCTGAGGTAGGCAGATCACTTGAGGTCAGGAGTTCGAGAGTAGCTTGGCCAACATGGTGAAATCCCATCTCTACTAAAAATACAAAAATAACCAGGCGCGGTGGCTCACATCTGTAATCCCAGCACTTTGGGAGGCTGAGGGGGTGGATCACCTGTGGTCGGGAGTTCGAGACCAGCCTGACCAACATGGAGAAACCTCATCTCTACTAAAAATACAAAATTAGCTGGGCGTGGTGGTGCATGCCTGTAATCCCAGCTACTCAAGAGGCTGAGGCAGGAGAATTGTTTGAACCTGGGAGGCAGAGGTTGCGGTAAACTGAGATTGTGCCATCGCACTCCAGCCTGGGCAACAAGAGCAAAACTCTGTCCCCCCCCCAAAAAAATAGAAATACAGATACAAAAATTAGCCAGGCCTGGTGGCTAGCACCTGTAATCCCAGCCACTCGTGAGACTGAGGCAGGAGAATTGCTTGAACCAGGAGGTGGAGGTTGCAGTGAGCTGAGATGGCACCACTGCACTCTAACCTGGGTAACAGAGCGAGATTCCATCTCAAAAAAACAAACATAAAAATAAATAAAATTAATACAGATGTTCCCTGGGTGCTCATGAGCAAGACTGGGGCTGGGCAGACCAGAGAGACTTCCTTGGGAGTGAAGATCTGGAGAAGAGATGTGGCTGCCGTGTGCCAAGGGAAACACACAAAGCCCCCTCCAGAACTCTTCTGAGGAACGAAAGCCTCGAGCTGCCAGGGAAATGGCAGTCAACTCTGTTGCCCCCCAGAGCAGAGGCGAGACCTTGTGCTTTCCCCCTCAAACAAGGGGCAGGAATATGTCCTGGGCTTTGGCTTGGAGGTCTCCTGACACCAGGGGAGGGACAGGATCACTGTGACTGAGAGACCCAGGGCCCACCTAGGACTGAGACAACAAAGAGAACTTGTCCACCCACAGGCCTAGAGATGCAAACAGCAGCCGTCAACACGAGGAGGGGATTAAGAGAGTAAGGTCACTTACTGCACAAAGCGTTGCTAGGGAATTGTGAAGCTGGTGGTCCACTGCGGTAACCATGGTGACAAGCCCACCTCCCACTCGATTCCTGGCTGGACCCGCTCAATCACCCTCCAGGCCTCCCTGCTCCTTACACAGTAACAGCTCTGCAGAACCAGCCCATGTCCTAGTCTCTACCATCCTATGCACATCTAGCCTTCCAGAAAACAAAACAAAACAAAAAACAAAACAGAACAAAAAAAAAATGGCCAGAGATGGAAACAGGGAGAGAGAACAACCCACTGCAAAGAAGCAAAGCAACAAAGAGATGTTAATTTCATCTCAGGTCAGCAACAGCAAGTGCATGTCCACAGATATGCGCTGCAAATGAATACAAAACCAAAAAGACACAAGAAAGAGAAACGAATACATCCTCCATCACAGTAAAAGATATTTTTATTTTTCTTGATACAGGGTCTCAGTCTCTCTCCCAGACTGGAGTGCATGGTGTGACCTCGGCTCACCGCAACCTCTGCCTCCCAGGCTCAAGCGATTCTCCTGCCTCAGCCACCCAAGTAGCTGGGATTACAGGCGCCCACAACTACCACCCAGTTATTTTTTGTATTTTTAGTAGAGATAGGGTTTCGCTACATTGGCCAGACTGATCTTGAACTCCTGACCTCAAGTGATCCACCTGCCTCAGCCTCCCAAAATGCTGCAATTACAGGCCTGAGCCACGGTGCCTAGCCATCACCATAGTAAAACATTTTAATGCCATTTTTAGAAGCTAACATGTAGAATACAAAAAAATAGGCAATGATATATAAGATCTAAGTAACAGGCTGGGCACAGCCTGTAATCCCAGCACTTTTGGAGGCCAAGGCAGGTGGATTACCTGAGGTCAGGAGTTCAAGACCAGCCTGATCAACAAGGTGAAACCCTGTCTCTACTAAAAATACAAATTATCTGGATATGGGAGCACACACCTGTAATCTCAGCTACTCAGGAGGCTGAGCCAGGAGAATCACTTAAACCCGGAAGGTAGAGGTTGCAGTGAGCCAAGATCGTGCCACTGCACTCCAGCCTGGGTGACAGAGTGAGAGACCAAAAAAAAAAAAAAAAAGAAGAAGAAGAAGATCAGATCTAAATAACAATTTAAAAGCCTGAGCTATTGGCTGTAGACAAAAGAATGCACTCAAATGATGAGCGAATGTACTTTTTTTTTGAGATGAAGTCTCGTACTGTCACCCAGGGTGGAGTGCAGTGGCTCAATCTCAGCTGGCTGCAACCTCCACCCTCCTGTGGTCAAGCAAGAACATCTTGCTAATTTTTGTGTTTTTAGTAGAGATGGGTTTTTACCAGGTTGGCCAGGCTGGTCTGGAATTTCTGGCCTCAAGGAATCTGCCTGCCTTGGCCTCCCAAAGTGCTGGGATTACAGGTGTGAGCCACCACAACCTGGCCTAGCCTGCCATTTTTTGTAAGTATTCCATAAGTGCTTAAAAGAATACATTCAGCTGGGCATGGTGGCTCATGCCTATAATTCCAGTACTTTGGGGGGCCAAGGCAAGGCCAAACCTCCACCTCCTGGGTTCAAGTGATCCTCCTGCCTCAGCCTCCCGAGTAGCTTGGATTACAGGCGTGTGCCACTATGCCAGCTAATTTTTGTATTTTTAGTAGAGATAGGGTTTCATCATGTTGGGCAGGCTGGTCTCGAAATCCTGACCTCAAGTGATCCACTTGCCCAGAGTGCTGGGATTATCAGGCGTGAGCCACCATGCCTGGCCAAGATTTTTTTTTTAACCTGCTCTATTTCTTTTCTTTAAAAAAAAAAAAAATCAGGATAACACTTTATTTCATAAAACAGAATAACTGTTCCTCTTTCTTCTTTTTTTTTTTTTTTTTTTTTGAGACAGAGTCTCACATTGTCATCCAGGCTAGAGTGCAGTGGTATGATGTCGGCTCACTACAACCTCCGCCTCCTGGGTTCAAGTGATTCTCCTGCCTCAGCTTCCCAAGTCTGGGATTACAGGCAAATGCCACCATGCCCCACTAATTTTTGTATTTTTAGTAGAGATGTGGTTTTGCCGTGTTGGTCACACTGGTCTTGAACTCCCAACGTCAGGTGATCCACCCACCTCAGCCACCCAAAGTGCTGGTATTACAGGCATGTGCCCTCATGCCCAGCTGTGTTCCTCTCTTGTTTTTAAATTTCTGCAAATTTCTGCTCAGACTCTTTTACCTTTGGGGATTTGCTCTTTTTTTCTTTTTTAAATATTTTTTTCTGGGAGACACAGACTGGATGTGGGGGTGGGTGCTCCCTATTCTTTTTTTTGAGATGGAGTCTTGCTCTGTCATCTGGCTGGAGTGCAGTGGGGAGATCTCGGCTCACTGCAACCTCCATCTCCCGGGTTCAAGCAGTTCTCCTGCCTCAGCCTCTGAGTAGCTGGCACTACAGGTGCATGCCACCACGCCCAGCTAACTTTTGTATTTTTAGTAGAGACAGGGTTTCACCATGTTGGCTGGGATGGACTCGATCTTTTGACTTCATGATCCCCCCACCTCTGCCTCCCAAAGTGCTGGGATTACAGGCATGAGCCACCGTGCCCGGCCCCTATTCTTTTTTCTATGCTAGCCACATGAGCTGAATGTGGTTAAGTTTCAGTCTTTTAAGATATGCATTAGGACTGTAATAAGAAGTTACAAAGAGAAAACTAAAATCAATTCTTGGAAATGTTTGATTAAACCTAATAAAATAATTGGTTTGTACTTAAGATTAATAAAATTGGCCAGAAGCCAGCCACAACTGGGCAAACAAAGGTGAAGATAAACCATTTTTGGACATGAAAAAGACAATTTGAGATACAGTTGTGTTTTGTAATTGTGAGATATTACTATAAATAATTGCCATAAATTCCAAATTAAATGGGACACTTTTCTAGAAAATATAAATTACTAAAATTGACAGACAAACAGAAAACCAGAATAAACTACTCAACATTGAATGAAATTGATCCATCCTAAAAAATATAGTCATCAGGGAAACACCAGTAATTTTATCACATTCTACTCAAGATTTTTGCAATGTTCATAACCCAAAGTGAATTTATATCTAAAATATATGAATAAAAATGCTAAAAGTAAGAAAACCCCGAAAGAAATACATGTGAAGGTGATGAATGTACAAAGCAATCTTACATACTGTCTGTGGCTACACTCCTGTCTAATAAACAAAAACATAGATATACAGCAATTTTGGCCAGGTATGGTGGCTCACACCTGTAATCCCTGCACTGTGGGAGGCCAAGGTGGGCAGATCACTTGAGGTCAGGAGTTTGACACCAGCCTGGCCAACATGGGGAAACCCTGTCTCTACCAAAAATACAAAAA